TTTTAAAAGATTTCTTTTCTAATTATATTAGTATTATTTCTTTCACTTGATTTTATTTCTTTGACTATATAAAGTTGATTTTTGATTTTTAGATTATAATATTATATTGATTTTTAATTTTTAATATTATTTTAAGAATAAAGATCTTTATTATAAATAAGCTATATTTTTTATTTTATTTATTTTTGAAAGTAGAAGATTTTTACTATAAATAAGCTATATCTTTTATTTTTATTTAGTTATTTAGTTTTTATATTTTAGTTTTTATCTTTCTTTAGTTGTAATCTTCTTTAATTAATAATAGTTTTATTATTTAATCAACTCAAATCTTGAATTATATTGATTACTAGTGGCTTTACTAAGCTGATTTTTATAATTTTCTTGATTTATTTCTTTTTTTTATTATTTATTTTACTTTTTGAAAGATAATATTTGTAAATATTGGAACAGGTCTTAGAAATCTTTGTTATTATTAAAAGTATAGTCTAATTTCTCTCTTTCTATCTTTAATTATTTCAGTCTCTTCTAATCTTATATTGTTAAGATGAATTTAAGTGAAAATTTACTTACTGATTTGTCATAACATTATATTAGTATAACTGCTTATTAGATAACTAAGAATTTTGAGTTTCAACAAATCCTACTTATAATTGAGAAAATGCTATATAATTATACTAGTATGAATATAATACAAAATTATAATATATATTTGATTATTAATATATTATTTTATAAGAATGAATTATTATTAATATAAATAATAATGATATAAAAGTATTAAAAGTATTCCAGAACTTACAAATTACTAATCTTTCTTGTTGTGCATATATTATTCGTTTAGTTATATCTGATAGATTATAAATCAATTTCTGTTAAGAATTATTAAAAAAGACAAAAATACTTAATCTTTTTTTTGTTCATTATGATAAATATCAAAGTTATTTTTTTTAAATACAAAAAGTTCTTTAATCTGACAAAGAAATACTTGCTTCAATTCAAGATGTTAATACAAAATATAATTCTATATATAAAGTTCTTGAAAGACTTCTTATTTTAAAATCTATAATTCAAATAATATATAAAGCAATACAAATAGATAATAATACTAAAATATGTAAAGATGATAATAACTTAGCTACATTATTTATGATAAGAGATGAATGGAATGATATTAAGAAATTGGTATCTGTTTTTTATCCATTTGTGCAAGCTACAAGTTTTTTGAGTAATGCAAATTCTTCAACTATTTCAATTCTTTATCTAATAATTGAGAATCTTTTTCAACATATACAACATAATACTTAATAACTTAGTTATCAACCTATTATTCAAATTCATAATGCTATTTTAAATTAATGGAAAATTAATGGAAAGATCCTCAAGATCTTGGACTTTTGGCATCTTTAAGTGATCCATGTTTTAAATCACTTGCTTTTATTTCATCTTTACAAAAAGAATATGCATTATCTCTAATTTATAATCATATTAATTCATCAGCAATCAGCTCATCATTTCCAATGTTACAATTTTTTGAGAAATTTGGAATGCAAGACATATATGAAACTAAGTCTGAATTAGATTCTTTATATGGATATTCTTATTCTTCCTCTGACTGAAAAAATAATTCAATTCAAGTTAATCATAATACTTTTCCTTGATTATCAAAAATTGCTCATTGTTATTTATCTATTCCCGTGAGTTCAGTTCCAGCTGAAAGATCATTTTCTAATGCAGGTTATATTCTTACTGAGAAACGTAATCGTCTTGATCCAACTACTGTTTCAGATCTTTTATTTTTTACAACAAAATTCAACTATTTTTACGATTGTTCCTAAATAACTTATAATATAGTTTATTATTCAAAAATCAACAATAATATGATCTTTATGTTATATAGTTTATTGTTCAAAAATCAATATTATGATACTTTTATTTTACGTGTATGTTTTTATTATAATGTCGATATGCTATTTTTATTAAACAATTAAAAATTTACTATATATGGACATATCTATTAATGAACTGGTTAACCGTAGGTTAACCGGTTAAGAATTTTTAACCGGTTACCTTTATGGAACTAATTTATTGAAGAATGTGGTACAGGATTGACGTTACGGTACACGAGAATTTCGCTTTTGGTATTTTTGCCATAATGATGGTACAAAGAAATATATTAAGATGTTTGGAGTATTTGATCATAAGTTTTATCCCGAAGACGCAACAGGTGTCTCATTGTCTTTTATATTCATAAATCAGAATAGTAGTGTACTCGATTTTTACTTTGGTATGCACGAAAATCAAACAAATAGAGAACACTGTTCCTCAACTTAAAGTGCACAATCCTGGATCCCTGTTCTCATGAGAACGCGAGAACACCAGATTTCGAACACTGCCCAAAACCTCCTTTTGCAAGATATTCAACGTTCGATAAAACTTTCAAAAGGAATTCATTCGAATAATTTGTAATAAAGATTATTATTAATTTTGTTGCATTCTTTTAATAGATTGTCGTTATCTAGCGCTAGACAATTCATCCTATAAATTCGTATGTGATATTTGAAACCGTCTTTGCAGAATCCATTTCGTTGACACCAAAAACATTTAATACAATCATGAATATTGTGAACTAAACGTTCTTCGCAATATCTATTCTCTTGACAACGAATACATTCATTACAATAATGAGTATTTGATTCCATCTTCGAGCTCACTTTATAAAATGCGTCTATAACACTATGAACATGAATTTCTTGAAAGGATGTATAGTAAAACAAACGAGAGATAATGTACACTGGCCTGATAAAAGTATCCGGCAACTGGAAAAATCATCAAACTTTACCAATTGTTGCACACTCATGCATCCAATTTTATTATTGAATGCGCCTTTTCTATAAAATAAAAAAATTCTTTATATTTTTATTATAAATTTTGGAGTTATCTGTAAAACGCCGAGCAATTATTTGCGAATTTAATTAAAAACAGTGCTTATACCTATTTTAGCAATCAATTATCCAAATTATTTGATCTTTTTTATTAGATTCATCTTAATTTCTACTTTCAGAAAATAATGATTAAAATTAGCATTTTATAGAAATTTTTTTATATATAAAATATATATATAATTTCTCTAAAAATTTTCTATCAATTTTTTTAATCTAAAAAATTAATTTAAAAAAAATAATATTAATATTCTTTAATATATGATTTTAAGTGAACTTTTTTTATAGATATTAAGATATTTCTATAGTTATATTTCTTCATAGTTATCTTTTTTTATAATTATCTTTTTTGAGTTTTTCAGTTACTAATTAACTATAAAAAAATCTCTATAATTACATCTCTCTTTAGTCATCTAATCCAAGTGTGATAACTATAGAGATCTGATGTATATTTATATTAATTTTCATGCAAATTTGATTAGTTATTACTAATAATTACTTTTTAAATTTGTCTAAATATTTTTTCAAAATTTTTAGAATTTTCAGATTTGATTTGAAAAAATTTTTCTTAAAATAAAATAATTACAAAAAATTTAATTTATAGTTTAATTTTAACAATTTTTAACAATCACTTTATTATAAGAAAAAATTTTCTCAAATTAAATTGAAAATTCTAAAAAAATATATATTGATATATAAATTCTTATCTTTATTTTAATACAATTCCTGACAAAAGCAATAATGATAAATATTTTTATTCAAAAATTGTGAAATCTTATAATAATATTCTTTAGAATATTCTGAACATGATTTACTAATAGCACAAGACATGTTAACTTAATAAAATTTTGCAAAATTTCATATCAAATATGACAGATTTGGTGTTTGTATGAAATAATTAAAATTATTTGAAAATATTTTGTGAAAATATATTTTAAGATATAAAGAATATATTTGTAAATTTAAAAAAAAATTTATTTCATATTTATTTTAATAAATGCCAGTTAAAAAGGGCTTATTTTGATAAATTTTTATAAAATGTAGTAAAAATTCAATTTTTACTATATTTTACTGATTTCTTAAGAAAAATCATTAAAATAAAGTCCTTTTTTTGACTGGTATTTATTTAAATAAATGTGTGTGATGAAAATTTTTTTTAAATTTACAAATACATTCTTTATATCCTAAAATATATTTTTACAAAAATTGCTTATTGAAATATTTTCAAATAATTTTAATTTAGTTATTCACGCAATCACCTAATCCGTCACATTTGATGCGAAATTTCGCAAAATTTTATTAAGCTAACAAGCCTTGTGCTATTAGTAAATATTGTTCGGTGATGACTCGAAATCCAATGTATCGGGTTTTAAGACCGCATATGTTTTACCTTTCATTCCCAAATCTCACTCAAAACGTTCTTACAAAAATTAACAATTTTTTTCGTTGTATTTTCTTTTACGGTAAAATGGTGATCAACACTAAAAGGTAAATATATTCCCTTGGGCGCTAACGCATTACGATATAATTCTTTAGAAATGCAAATTTGGGCTTGATCATCCTTGTATCCATGAATTATGAGAATAGGCAACGGAGATATTTTTCGCATTATGTCTATTGAAATTGGTTCTGTTGACTTTATATGCCGATACGTATATAAAATTTAATCGCATGAAAGCTTAATAAATTCCGATTCTTACTTTTCTAACCTGAATAGCAAGTGTCACACAACCACATATCAATCTCGAACGCTTCAATGCAGCAATACGTAATACTATCGCACCAGCAAAACTCCAACCCGCAACCACAAATTTTTCAATTCCATGATCACGTTTCAATTTCTCAATAATTTCAAGTATATCTTGAATGCAATATTCTAAATTTTCGGGTTTACTCGTGAACTTCATTTCCACGCAAGAAATACCGGTTGACATTAGCTCGTTCATGATATCTTTGTATAAGGAAATATGACCGCGTTGAGATTCATATTTGTATGAGGTGAGAAGTAATGCGGATTTTTTAGAAAGATTAGTAGTGATGGTGGGTGATGGTTGATATAAAGTGACGAGAGGAGAATATGGTAGCGTGGCTGAAATGTGTTTTTCAATCATTGAATGCAAAAGAAATTGAATTTAAAAGATTCTTAATAATAAAACATTTCATTTATATAATGTATTTTGATTTCAATTTTATCAACCTGATTGATTTGATTGAATTGATTGATTGATTTATTACATAATTTTACAAATTTCTACAAGAAATACAATAAGTTCTAATAAATAGCAGTTGTATCAAAAATTTATCAGCTAAAATTTAGTTCGTTCAAAAAATACTACCATTACGTATTAACTTTAATGCCTATTGATGATGACATTCGCTACCCCATACCAATTGGAGTCAGCATCGACTCCATTACCACCTATAATACCCGATGGTTTATATAAGTCACCATTGTCATATCTCACAGCGATCGGTTCCGGTTTCTTGATTGAAGTGAATAAGTTTTCTAATTTGATTCGTTGGTTTTCGCATCGTTGTTCATTGGTTTGCATTGCCTTTCGCATAAATTTGAAAAAGAAATATTTTCATTAACGCTAATTAAATTGATGACTATCATAACTAAATTATTACTCACTTCTTTTGGCATAATAGAAAATGATTCTTCACTAATTTCGCCGGAAATTACTTTCTTGCGAAGAACTGGATTGTGTCTTAGGTTCCATACCAGACTGCGCATTTTTCCACAATATTTTTCTCTAGATTCTTGCAAATAAATTTTCCTGTACACGTGAATTTCGATTTTTTCTGCTTTTTTTTCAGCAGCTTTTGTTCGAAACGAAGACAACAACATTATTAACAGAAATTCTTTGAATGCTATGTATAATAAAGCCTATTTATTACCTTTTCTATCGAATCCGTTTAAACCGATTGATAGGGCAGCTTTTAAAAGCTTAATGGCTAAATAGAATAAATTAATTTTGTTAATATACTCGCCTAAAGATTAAAATTGCACGTGTTAATAATTACCATTATCACGATAAGTCATCTTTGATTCAAGATAAATAAGTATTAATTATAAACTCAAAGACTCTCGATCGCGCGTTTTGGTGAATTTAATTATAAATTGAGGGCTTCTTGAAAACCTCTTTTTATATCTGATTTTCTATATGATTTTTTTGACGTGTTTATGTAAAGCGATTAATTGAAGAATTTAATTGATTTTTATGACGTTCATTTAAAACAGAGTTATTACGTGTTAAAAATAAGCAGGCTTTAAATTTAATAGACATTGACATCAATATTTTACAAAATTAATTATTAATTGTTTAATAATAGAAATTCCTCTTTATTAATCACAAGATTATCTATAATCACTATCACGAGATTTCTTGTGCCTTATGTTTATATATGTAAATGTAACAAAAAGTAATGCACGATCTTTTTAAAAAAATGAAATCTCAGATTTATTTTATTTCTGTCTTATGAATATAAAATATTTTTTACCATTAGCTAAACTTTAATATCACTTTGATTTTTCAAAATATTAAATCTATAATTTACTCAAATGTCAACACATCAAATTTCCTTCAGAGTAGTCTTGAGCTCTTTCATGATCCTTGAGAAGCTTTTGCACTTTTAATATTTGTTCTTCAATGACTTGCAGACATTTATATGAAGTTAAGTCAAAATAACACAATATCCATTGATTTTATCTCTATTTGATTCTTTCTTTTTCAATTGTAGATCAAGTATTATTTTTTTGAAATATCATGTACTCTCAAATCAATGAACAAATTATATTATAAGAAGAGATTAAATTATCTTAAAGAATCTTCAGATAAGCTTTTACACAGATTTTATTACCAATATTATAAATAACTCAGAATATCTTTTTTAACTTCTTGTATAAGTACATTTTTTTATTATTATTAAAAGCTTAAGATCTTATAAACAGTGATAAATTTTTATTTTTTTATCTCTTTATATTATTATTAAAATTATATTATATCTTTCTTGTATCTTGTTTGATATTGACTTCTTTATTTAAATTTATTTTATTTTTCTAATAATATATATAATATAACAATTTTGATTAATTATATTTATTTAGTTTAAATCTTTATTTTGCATTCTTAGTACTATATTTTTAGTTTTATATTATTTTATTTAAAAATCATTTTCACTCTGAATATATAAATAATTATTATAATTAAATTAATCATATTATTATATAGATAATCTGTAATCTTCTAGTTACATAATATAATATATCAGAAAAATTCATATAGAAAATTCAAAATATATGATAATGTAATTAAAATAGAAGTTATATAGAAAACTAATTCAAGATAAACAAGATTATTATATTTAAAACTTATTCTATATTAATATTATTATTATTAAAAATATAAAACAGAAATAGTATCTTTAAATAATAATTTAATATTACATATAATTAATAATAAATAAATAGAAATTAATAATAAATAATACTTATATGATAGTATCTTCAAAAGATACTTATTAATGAATAAATAAAAAAATAAATAATTATAAATAAAAAATATAAATTAAGTATTATGTTAACTAAATTAGTAGAATAAAAGAAAAGAGAAATTCTACTAAAAAAAACTATCTATAACTAAAATAACTCAAATATACTATATAACTTTCTTGACAAGATGAGATAATTTTTGTGATGCAATATTATATGTAATATAATATACAGTATAACAATGATTTGTAAAATAAAATATAATTTATTATATTATCTTTCTCTTAAGAATTAATATTCTTATTAATACTTTAATTCAAAATATTTCACAAGTTTTATAGTATTATGAAGATTTTTTAAAGATTTCTAGATAGAATCATAAAGAGAATAATCTAGCTATTTAATTAAATATTATAATTTATTATAAATAATTTTTTTATTCAAAATAACTTCAATCTCATATTCTTCTTTATCAGTTTCAGATATGATAATTAATTATAATAGTATTAAATAAATAAATTTTTTATTATTATTAGAATTATATAATTTTAATAATAAAATATAAAAGATAAAATAAATTTTTATATGTGAAAACAAATTCAGTTTATATATAATAAATAAAATTACTTCAAGAATAAAGAAAATATCAATATATTTAGATATAAGTTTTTTATTAAGATATTATTTATTTATAAGATATTATTTATTTATAAAATCAATAATATTATAAATTAAAAATAAGACTTTATTTTCAATTTTAAATTCTTAATAATAATGATATTAATTAGTATATTTAAATTAATAATTCTATATTTCTATTAATAAATTTTTTATATTTTTTATCATATTATTCTAATATTAAATAAATTTATTAGTAACAATAATTTTATTATCTGAGATAAATATTAAAAATATAATTAAATATTAACTATAATCTAACTTAAAAGATATATAATCAAAAGAAGCTTATATAAAATTATTATATATATATTTAATAACAGCAAGATATTTATCCTAATAATCTTAATTATAAATAGAATAAATTCTTAATATTTTTTCTAAAGTATTATTTATTCTTTAGTTTATCTATCAGTTTGTAAGTAAAATATAATTGATATAATCAATTTTAATATCAATTTATTTAAAAAGAGATTTTTAAAAATAATTAATAAATTTGATATCACAATCTGAAATTATAATATAAGATAATTCATGTAATTTAAAGATATTATTGAAGAAAAGTTTAATAATTTCAGATATAGTAATAGTAGTATATATAAAATTGAAATAAGTATATTTAGTAAGATGATCTATAATAATTAGCATTGTATTATATTCTTGATAAGTTATAGGTAATTGCATAATAAAATTCAAAGTAATTTATTTCTAATATTATTTAGATATTTTTAAGAGTTATAGAAGATTTAAGAATAATTAATTATTACTTTTATTTCTTTGATATTCTTTATAATTAAGAATATATTTATGAATATTCTTGAATATTTTTAACTAATAGTAGTATTATTATAATTACTCATAAGTTTTATTGATTTCAAGATAATTAGAGATAAAAATATCATGATATTCTTTCAAAATTCATATTCTCAAAGATTTATTCTTTAATATAGTAAGTTATTTTGTATTCTTTAAATAAATTTTATTATTTTTTAACTTAAAATAATATATTCTTAATTATTACTTTAATATAACTAATTCAAAATTATGCAAAGTTATCCATATTTTCTTGAAATAATTATTATTTTTATATTCTTAATATAACTTTTTCTTATTAATTAGTTATGTAAAAATTATAATAATATTATTTACTTATAATAAATAAGATAAGATATCAATGATAATATTTTCTTTATCTAATTTATATTTAATAATAAAATCATTAGCTTATAAGATTTTTAGCTAATGAGCTTAATATTTAAAAAGATTATATTATATTTTAATATTTTAGAGATATATGATCAGTAATAATAGTAAAATATTATTCTTTTAAATATAATTTTCAAAGACAAATAGTATGTATAATAGTGAAAAATTCTTTTTTATATATAGGATAGTTATATTTAGCTAATAATAATTTATATAACTTATAAATAATAGATTAGTCTTCTTTTTCATAATTTTGACTAAAAATAACTTTTATAATAAATTCAAATATATCAGTTATTATAATAAAGAGTAATTTAGGATCTGGTAAAATTAAAACAGATATAGTGATTAAATATTATTTAAATTATTAAATATTTTTTGTTTAGACTTATTCTAAATATACTTATAATCTTTATAAAGTAAGACTATAAATAATAAGATAATTATAGAAAATTCTTTAATAAATTTTTTATAATAATTAGTAAAATCTAGAAATATTTGAAGCTCAAAGATATTAGTTAATTTAAACCAGTTATAAATAATGATAATTTTGTATTAATCTACTAAGATTTCTTGATTTAATATAAAATAATCTAAGTATTCAATATATTACTTTATAAGTTTATATTTTTTTAATTTAATATAAAATTTATATTTATGAAATTTAAAAAGAATAATATGAAGATGATTAAGATATTCTTTTTTAGTATTACTAAATATGAAAATATTATCAAGATAAATAATAACAAATTTATTCAAATAATTATAAAAAATATTATTTATAAGAGTTATAAAAGTAATAGATATATTAGTAAGATCAAATAATAAAACAAGAAATTTATAGTAACTATATCTTATTCTAAATATAATTTTATAATATTTTCTTTCCTAATTCTAATTTGATAATATTTAGAATAGAGATTTAATTTAGAAAAGTATTATACTTTAACTAAATAATCTATTAATTTATTAATATAAGATAAAATATAGTAATTTTTTAATTATGATTTTATTTAATACATAATAATCTATACAAAGTTAAAGAATTCCTTCTAAAGATGATACAACAAGTATATAATACTTATTTATTATCTATTATAATATATTATAACTTCAAAATTTTATAAGTTATAATTAATTGCAATTAAATAATACTTATTTGTTATTATATTATAATAATTAAGAAGTCATTTTTAATTTCTTTCTTTTTATATATGAATAAGACAAATACTTTAAATGATAAAAGACTTAGATAAATAAAATCTTTACTAAATAAGTCAAATAGTTATTTCTTTAATTTATTTATTTTAATATAAGTAAAGTAATATATAGAGTGAGATGTTAATTCAGAGCCTGATATTAAATCAATAACATAATTTATAGTATATTTTGATGATAGTTTATTAAAAAATAAATTAGAAAATATATTAGTAAATTCTTTAATTAGTTAAATAGCTTTATAAAAAGTTAATATTTCTTAATATATCTTTTTTATTATAGTATAAATTGCAAATACTTTATATCAAATAGAATTTTAGTAAATTATTAATAAAAAATATAAAGTAAATTATAATTAGATGCAAGTTTATTTTTATTAGTATTAATCTTAATTATTTTATTACTATAATTAAATATCATAAGATTACTATACCAGTCAATAATAGAAT